ATTTAAATGAGTATACTCTTGACCTAGAAATCTCTGAAAACTTATCCTAAGAAAATATCACACAAGAATTCAAAGTATACATTCAGTGAAGTCTTTTGAATAAAATGAACAATAACCTGTTCATTAATAGATGTCTAGATAAACAGATTATGACCCATCGAAACAACAGAATATGGTTAAAAACTAAAATAGATTTATAAATACTAATATAGAAAGATATTTAAGATATATTCCTGAGTGCAGGGAAAAGAAGCAGTAGAACAGGCAATTAGTATGATTCCATTTATTTTAAAAATACTATGTGTATATATGTCTACACAAGTATAAAGTAAATTCTAGAAAAATATACATCAAACTTAATAGTGATTTCCTCTGGAGAGTTAAGAGTGACAGGGAAGAAGGGGACTTTTGCTTTCCACATTATACTAAATAGCAGGAAAAACAAAGACCTAGAGAAAAGAGATACAAACCTTATGGCTTATAAAAATATAGTATTTGTCTACAAGAATATTCCTTAAATTTTCATCATATCCCCTTAAATTTTTTTTCATCCAGGAAAAACACAAACCAACAAAATAAGGATGTCTTAAGTATGACAAAGAAATCTATGCTTTGAAAATGTTATAGATGTTCAATTCATTAATTATGCATATTTAAGTAGCCGATGAAGACTTTATAAGGAGACTACTGTGGTGTAGAATGCTAGCATTTAGCGTGGTATCATTTATCTAGCAAAACAATATACAGTGATTAAAATCCACTAAACAGTAAATATCTAGCCATATACAGAAATATGCTGCGAAAATATTTTGTATAGTTTCTACTATTTCTAAACTTCTTCCACATTGGGCTTTAAGTTTCGCTGTTCAATATGCTTTTGAGTTAAATGCCCTCCGATACCTTGACATAATGCCTATTCAACATTGAGAAAGAAGAGCGCACACTGTCTGCTAAAGTGGCAAAAGAAAGGCCACCCACATTCAAAAAGAAACAGAACATTTCTGAGAGGATCCAGAGACACGTTTGTTGCATGGACAGTGCACTAACTGTAAGGAATAACATTTCACAGACAAACTACATGGCATTCAAGAGCAAGGCTCTTGCTCTGAGTTAAAGATGGTGGAGTAGGAAGATCTGAGCTCACGTCTCTTCACTGCCACCAAAACTACAACTACTACATAAAGAAAAGGTATCTCTTAGAATGACCTAAGACTAGCAGAACACATTTTCCACAATTACGGATTTAAAGAAAAAGCCAAATGGAGAGGTAGGAAGGGTAGAAACTCAGTCTAGTCAGGACCTACCCTATTACCACTCCCCACGCAGTTGCCCACAAGTGAGAGGGATATCACAACGGCAGAAGTCCCCCCATAAAGAGTGAGGGGTCTGAGCCCCAGCCTGGGAACCTGCAAAGAGGAAGAGGAGCCCTCATAACATCTGTCTTTGAAAACCAACAGGGCTTACATCTGGGAGAGCTGAAGGGCTGAGAGCAAACCAAGCTTGTGCTCTGAGCCCCAGTGCAGAGGCAGCAGTTTGAAAAGCACCTGGGCCATGTGTGAAAGTGATACAGTGACTACTTTTAGGGCGTGTGTTGGAGGGACAGGTATCTGTTAGAATTTTCTCTTGAGTCAGAAGTGCTAGTGGGCGCCAACTGTCCCTTTCTTTATTCTCCTCCCTAGCTGTTCTGACACTAGCAAGAACCGTTTCTGACACTCTTCATTAACCTTGCTAACAATATTTTTCAAAAAAATATTTTTATTGATTTTTAGAGAGAGAGGGAGAGGGTGAGAAACATTGATGTGAGAGCAAAATATCAATCGGCTGCCTCTTGCACACTCCACCGGGGATAGAGCCTGCAACCCGGGCATGTGCCCTGACTAGGAATCAAACAGCTACCATTTGGTGCTCAGGACAACCAACACCCAACCAACTGACCAACACTGGCCAGGGCATGCTAATACTATTCACCCCACCCTGGCATTTCCCTGATGACCCACCCAAGCTGGCACCCCTCCAAAGCAACTCCTTCCCTGCTACACCTGGCAGGCGGCCTTAGTCAGCACCAGTACACAGCAGTTGAGACTGGGCTTTGCAGGCAGCTACACTGACAGTCTGTACTGAACACCAGTGTGCCCGTAACAGTTGTGGCAAAGCTACACAGCCACCCTAGCCAGGAACCAGCCTCGCCTACCAGTGTGTCCTTAGCAGTTGTGGCCCAACCACAACAGGAGGCCACACTATTTCATACAGGGAACACCTCTGAAGTACCTGGCTCTGGTGACAAGGGAGAATTCTACCTCTGGGCCCCACAGGACACCCTCTAAGGCAGGCCACTTTTTCAAGACCAGGAGATGTAGCTGATCTACCTAATACATAGAAACAAACAGGCAAAGTGAAGAGACAAAAGAATATGTTCCAAACAAGAAAAAACCCAGAAAAATAACTAAGCAAAACAAAGGCAAGCTGTCTCCTAGAGAAGAGTTCAAAGTAATAGTCATAAAGAGGCTCCTCAAACTCTTTAGACAAGTGGATAGACTCAGTGAGAACTTGAGATAAAAATTATTAAAAAAAAAAAAAGAACCTATCAGAACTGAAGAATGTAACAACTGCAATGCAAAAATACACTAGAGGAAATCAACAGCAGATCAGATAATTCAGAAGAATTGATCAGCGATCAAGAATAAAGGATAATGGAAATCACCCAACTGGAAGATGAAAATGAAAAAAGAATTTAAAATAATGAGGGACCTAAGGGACAACATCAAGTCTACTAACACTCATGTCATAGCAGTCCCAGAAGGAGAAGAGAGAGAGGGAAAAGGACAATAAACCTATTTGAAGAAATAATGGCTGAAAACTTCCCTAACTCAGCAAGGAAAACAGATATCCAAACTCAGGAAGCATAGAGATCCCCCACACAAAATGAACCCAAAGAGACCCACATCAAGACACATCATTTTTGAAATGTTAAAAGTTAAAGAAAAAAATCGTAGAAGCAAAAAGAGAAAAACAACTAGATACATATGTGGGAATGCCCATAAGACTATGAGCTATTTTTTAACAGAAACTTTGCAGGCTAAAGGGACTGGCAAGATATATTCAAGGGAATATAGTTGACAAAAGGGGAAAACCTACAACCAGAATACCCAGCAAGATTATCTTTCAGAATTGAAAGAGGTAAAGAGGTTCCCAAAAAGCAAAAGCTAAAGGAGTTTATCACCACTAAACCAGCATTACAAGAAATGTTAGAGAATTCTTTTTTTAAAAAAAATGTTTGTTGTCATTAATTCTCACCCAAGGTTATTTTTTCCATTGATTTTGAGAGAGAGAGTGAAAGGGTGGGGGGAGAGACACATCGGTTGGTTGCCTCCCACATGTGCCCTGACCAGGTTGGGGATCGAGCCTGCAACTGAGGTAGGTATGTGCCCTTGACCAGAATCAAACCTGAGACTGTTCAGTCTGAGGGCCAACACTCTAACCACTGAGCAAAACTGGTTATAGGGCTAAAAGGAATTATTATTATTATTATTTTTTAGATATATGTTTATTGATTTCAGAGAGGGAGAGAGAGATAGAAACATCAGTGATGACGGAGCATCATTTATTGGCTGCCTCCTGCACGCCCCCTACTGGGGATCGAGCCCGCAACCCGGGCATGTGCCCTTGACCAGAATCAAACCCAGGACCCTTCAGTCCACAGGCCAATGCTCTATCCACTGAGCTAAATCAGCTAGGGCAAAATGAATTTTTTAAGTGAAAAAGAAAAGGTCAAAACTAGAAATAAGAAACTGAAAGAAAAAAAGATCTCATTAGTAAAGGCAAACATATAGTAAAGATATAACCACTTATAAAGCTAGTATGCAAACAATTAAAATGGCAATACCTATATACCTAAATGTAATGGACTAAGCGTTCCATTTAAAAGACACAAGGTATCTAAATGAATAAAAAAACTAGACCCAAGAGAGTCACTTTAGATCAAAAGACACACAGACTGAAAGTAAAGGGATGGAAAAAGATATTTCATGAAAATGGAAACAAAAAAAAAAGCTAGGGTAGCAATGCTTATACCAGACAAAATAGACTTTAAAACAAAAGTTATAACAAGAGACAAAGAAGGACTCAATAATTCCACTTCTGGGAATTTATCCAAAGAAAATTGAAAACACTAATTCAAAAAGATATATGCTATGTTTATTGCAGCATTATATACAATAATGGAAGCAGCCTAGGTGTCCATCAACAGATGAACAGATAATGAAGATATAGTATACATATACAATGGAATATTATTCAGCGGTAATAAAGAATGAAATCTTGCTATTTGTAACAACGTAGGTGGACCTAGAGGGTATTATGCTTAGTAAAATAAGTCAGAGAAAGACAAATACTACATCATTTCACTTATCTGTGGAATAAAAAAACTAAATAAATGAGCAAACAAAACAGACTCATAGATACAGAGAACAAACTGCCAGAAGGTGGGGAGGGGGGAGATAGGCAAAAAGGTGAAGGGGATTAAGCGGTAGTAACTTATAGTTATAATATAAGTGAGTCATGGGAATATAAAGTACAGCACAGTGAATGCAGTCAATAATATCTCAACAACTTTGTACAGTGACAGATGGTTACTAGACTTCTTGCATTTATAAGGTATATAAATGACAAATCACTATGTTGTACACCTGATACTAATATATATTGTATGTCAATGATACTTGAATTAAAAAGAGCTTTACATTCCAGAATGAAAAAGAACATTTCTGAGGTTTTCTTATAGAAAAATGGCAATCTCCACTGATATAAGAAAGCATAAGAATTTTTTAACACTGAAAGATATTGAATATACTTCATTATTCACACATAGATACAAGTCAACAAGTAGAAAAGTGAACACAGAATTTAAGATAGCTTTTAACCATAGTTTTAAAATACAAATAGAAAACACATAAATAAATCAATATCCAAATAACAGAAATGATTATATCAAACATACTTACCATTGAAAGGATTGATTCCTGCCCTTATTCTTGAAATAATAGCTTCTTTTACTTCTTTTTTCTTTACACATCGAATACCCAAATTTTGAAAACTAGAAAGAAAAAAACAGAACTGTCAAAATGCACTATAGTTAAACACACAAATACCAAAGAATATCCTAAGTATTAAGCATCCATCCAACAGAGGAGAGTCTCCATACTGTCAGATGGAGATGATAAAGTATGTTGTAAATTTCCAAATGCTATAATAAAGGTGTGAGGCTAAAAAAGTGGGGTTACATTCTAAGAGAACTGTTAAAAGAAAAATAATGCATAACAGATAGCTGTTGCATACAGTATTTTACAATTATACCTTATTAATATGCGTAGATCAAATATACCAAAGTAGGTAAAGATTAACAGGGAAGTGACATCAAAAAGCTGAAATTCAGCCCTGGCGGGTTTGGCTCAGTGGATAGAGTGTCCGCCTGCGGACTAAAGGGTCCCAGGTTCGATTCCCGTCAAGGGCATATGCCCGAGTTGCGGGCTTGATTTCCAGTAGAGGACATGCAGAAGGCAGCCAATCAATGATTCTCTCTTATCATTGATGTTTCCATCTCTCTCTCCCTCTCCCTTCCTCTGAAATCAATAAAAATATATGTATTTTTAAAAAGCTAAAATTCACCTCCTAACCAAATTCATTATCAAATCAATAGAATCTGTATATTTAATAATGTAAAGCAAAATTTATAAAAGATACCCACAGGCTGAAGCCCACAGGTATATTTTGCTGAGCTCATAAAAGTGTTGTCTACATTTAAAAAAATGTTCATAGACTACCAACATTTAAAAATCAGGTAACTGCATACAAATATCTGGATTTCTGGTTTCTTGCCCGTTTTAAAGGTCTGCCGACAGTAGGCTGGTTCAGAAACACCTTGCTGAAGCTGAGGGAGGGCTCTCCAGTTTGCTATGGTGCCTACGAGTCCTCTCACACCTGGCACACTCCACTCCACAGACACTTGTTATTTGAGCCCTGACTACACTGCTAGTAGCAGTGGAACATATTTTATGTCCCATTATATGAAGTTATAATAATCAATCATCATAAGAAAGCACTGAAATGTGTTCTTTAATTAGAAAGATGTTTGATACTAACAATAATATTTAACAAAAGTTTCAAAATGTCATTTATGGAAAACTTCTCAATAGCTACAAATATTACTAATTTGCATGTGTAGTACAGATGATGGTTGGGGGAACTCCCCTACCACCACCAGTCATACTTGTTCCCACATGGAAAAACCATGACATCATTCAAGTTGGGTGGGTGTGAATAAGGAAGCAAAACTGATTATAATAACATTCCTATTTGTTCAAACTTCACAGGGCACTTGCAACAGGAGGCTGCCTACCTGCCTGCCCCTCTCCAGGCTCATGCTGCTCATGCTGTTCACATTTACCGCATTGTGATTTTGTTAGCACCTAAACTATCCTTGACATTTCTTTCCTCTGCCTCCAATAACTAAAAAAAAAAATGAGTCTCGAATTCATAATCCTTTCTTGAAACCCCGAAACTACAATCCTCTTCCTCAAAAGTATTCTGCTTCTTTGAAAGAAAGATTCTTAGCTTGGTTCTTTTTCTTTGACAAAAGATTGTAAAGAATCCTCCCCTTTAATATATTTTTACACTACTTGATTTAGTTTCAGCTGAATCATATTTGACTGCTAGTCACAGATTAGAAGTGGTAGAGATTCCTGAAATTCTGACAGGAGGAAACCAAGGATCATAGAGATTGCTTGAATCATACATTCATTCCTTCATAGTCATTCAATAAGTTTTGGGGTCTTACCATGTACCAAAAACTCTGGGAAAATGGGGGTATATAATCCTTCCCTTCACGAAGTTCAGTCTAGTGCAGGGAGTGGCCAACTACAGTCCATGGACCAAATCTGGCCCCCTGCCTGCTTTTTCAAGCAAAGTTTTATCGGAGCACAACTCAACAGATTTGCTGATGCACCGTCTATGGCAGCCGTGGGCAAACTACGGCCCGCGGGCCGGATCCGGCCCGTTTGAAAAGAATAAAACTAAAAAAAAAAAAAGACCATACCCTTTTATGTAATGATGTTTACTTTGAATTTATATTAGTTCACACAAACACTCCATCCATGCTTTTGTTCCGGCCCTCCGGTCCAGTTTAAGAACCCATTGTGGCCCTCGAGTCAAAAAGTTTGCCCACCCCTGGTCTATGGGGTGCTTTCATGCTGCCCCAGCAGAGCTGAGAAGTTGCCACAGAGACCATATGGCCTGCAAAGCCTTAAATATTTACTCTCTGGCCTTTTTACTGAAGAAACTTGCTAACCTTTAGTGTAGTGAAGCAGATGGACATTAAGGAATCACACACACAAAAACGCTAAACTGAAACCATGACAATTTTTATAAAGGAGATGGACATGCTGCCATGAGAGCCCTATGAGGGGAAAGAAGTGATCAACTCAGGGAAGGCAGACAGGCTTCTTGTCAGAAGTGACACTTACTATGAACAGAACTGAACAAGGGGGAAAGGAGAGTCAAGAGACTTCAGGCCGAAGGAAAAGAACATGCCAAGGAGCCCACGGAAGAGCACTGTGAGCCCCGGAAACTAAAGGAAGGCCTTGTGACTGGAGCATGGCGGTCAAGGAGAACACCGCAGACCAGAAGGCTGGAGATACAAGCAGGTCACGTGGGCTTTCTGAGGAATGTTGTCCTAATCCCAAGAGTCACATAAAGCCATTAACATGTTGTAAGCAGAGATGTGACCATCAGATTTGTATTTCAAAAGATCACGCTGAATAAATAAATTTATTTATTTAAAATTTTTTTTAGAAAGATCACTTTGGCTAAAGTGGAGGACACAAAAAGAGTTGACGGGAGAAGAGCAGTCAGAGGCTCTTCTCCGCAGCCCACATTTAGACGACCGCGTCGGTAGCGTGGAAGTGAGGGAGGTCACTGAGACAAGTGGAGAGACAGATTCAAGAACTCTTTAGGAAGTACCCATCAGTGAACTCAACGTGTGCACCTGTGTGAGAGGTGTCAAGGATGAAACTACGTTTGGGGCTTTTACAGCAACCACTTAGATCAGCGGTCACCAACTTTTTGGGCCTCACGGACCACCGACTGGCGACCGCTGACTTAGATAAGGTACGTTAGGAGACCGATTTTGAGAGGAAAGCGGTATGATTATATAAGAGCATGGTGTGGGGCGTATTCTATTTGAGGTTCTTTTGAGATATTTAAGAGAGTATGTCAAAAAGACAATCAGACTAAGTACATTCCCCACTGAAAAAACTAGGGCTCCTGAGAAAAGAGAGCTGATTTCAGGGCAGTGGCAAGAAAAGGAGAAGTAAGTCTTGAACACTTTGTTGTGTCAGGAAGTAAAGAAGTGCTCAAAGAAATATGGGGCCATGTCCAAAGGACAGTGGAAACAGTCTGAAGGGGCCTGAATTAGTCCAATCTGGGTCAATCTGAAAATCAAAACAATGTCAGTACACTGACTATAAAAATCCATGGGTCTATAGCAGTGATGGCGGACCTTTTGAGCTCGGCGTGTCAGCATTTTGAAAAACCCTAACTTAACTCTGGTGCCGTGTCACATATAGAAATTTTTTGATATTTGCAACCATAGTAAAACAAAGACTTATATTTTTGATATTTATTTTATATATTTAAATGCCATTTAACAAAGAAAAATCAACCAAAAAAAATGAGTTCGCGTGTCACCTCTGACAAGCGTGTCATAGGTTCGCCATCACTGCCTTAGACAGTGGTTCTCAACCTTCTGGCCCTTTAAATACAGTTTCTCATGTTGTGACTCAACCATAAAATTAATATCACAAGTGGGAAAAACTAATATCACGTCTCCTGAAGAGATATTCTGAGAATACAGCATCGCCTCCGTAGATTCCTTGTCCAAAATGTTTCATATTAACATGAAAATATCATTCATGCTATTCATGGGAACATGGATATAATCAGGAGCAACCATTCAGACGAATCCATATTGAACAACAATATTCAAAACAAACAGCCTAGACGTTTCAACAACGTTAACATCATGAAAGATGAAAAAAGGCTGGGAACCTGCTCTAAATTAAAGGAGACTAAATAAGCATGACAACTCAATATACTTACAATAAAGGCCTGCGTTCTTGTCCAAATTCTGCTTCATAGTAGCCATCTCTGCAGTCTTTTCCTACTAAATCATGAGGATGAGGTTTAAATGGGTCATTCTTTGTTACTAATGTAATTCTCACTTTTCCTTTTCCATAACAGTTCTTAATCTGAAAAAGAAAGAAATAAATGATCCATAAATATTCCTCATGAAGATCTATTCTACTAAATGAAGGTTCAATTTATATAATGTGGCTAGTACTGTATCCAGTTGGCTGGCAACTGCAGTTTGGATGAAACCTGCCAAGAATACCAGTAGCGAAGAATTTACCTCTCAGTTCCTTGACATATTAATTTCAATTGGCCATTATCAACTGATTCTGCTTAGTTTCCTTTTAAAAACAAGTAAAATTATACCAAAATATTATCACAGTGCATGAGAAAATACTTAATCATTAAGTCACCAAATGCCATGCTCTTAGATTCACTGTCATACCATAAACATCCCTTCAAAGTATATACTTAAGCCATACTGGATATGATAGCACACCAATACATAGGACCATTTTATTTAATATGTGACATTTCAGCTCACAAAAATAGTTGTTCATCAGTTAGCTATCCCAAGTGTTTGCTGTACAGTAGGCAATAAATCAAGTTGAGTTTCACAAAATTGTTTTCACACAGTAAGTACATCTAGGACATTGAGAATAAAGAGGAGAGTTAAACATGGAAAGAGGGTATTCTGAGCATGGGAAGGAAGAGAAGGTTCAGTTTGGAAGATAGGAAGTTTGCAAACACAAAGCAGGGAATATAAAAACCAGATATGACAAAGGAGCAAAGCAGTTACATAATGATGGGTAGCTTTACAGGTAAGAGGACACTAAAATCCATAATCCTGAATTTAAACTTAATTTGAAAAGCAACCAGGAAGCATTTATTGCCTTTCTGAATAAAAGAGACAGTGACCACTTAAAACTGTAATATAGGCTGATGTAAAACTCAAGATGTAAAGGGTTCAGAACCTACTGGATCTTAGAAATATTTTAAAGAATGTACAGAATAAGCTGAATTATGGAATGCTACCTTTTAGTAGCATTTCTCTCATTTTAACATTTAAACAAAAGGACTTAGATAACTCAAATCCATATTGCTGCCAAAAAAGTGACAAAAATTAGGATCTTACAATTCAATAATTTTGCCATTGCTTTATTCTATAATTTAGCCTTCCCCTTAAGTTCAATAGAGTAAACTTTGTAAACAATTTAGTTATAAAACAGTGAATTAACATCTGTTGAGGAAAGACTAAATAACATTTTTCAAAATCTACTCTGCCATTCAAATTTTTAATTGGCATTTAACGGATAAAAATTCATTAAAAATCAAATAAAATATAGTATATTTTATAAGTAGAATATACTGTCATTTTGGATCAAAAACTACTTTTGAAACTTATGCTAACATCAAAAACTATTTAGAAAATGACTATATTTCAAATAAGTCAATGAAACCCAGAGTATCAGGGATAGATAATAAAGGCAAGGAAAAAGGAGGCAAAAATGTTCATTCTCCTTTCCCGTAGACCCTAGTTTAGCCAAATGATTGTAGAAAGAATTCTGATTGGGTTCCCAAATCCACGTCTTTAATCTACGGAATGATTTTGCTCACTGCTGGAAGGAGAGAATGCTTTCTCCTCATTAGCTCTGTGTTTCATGAGAGGAATCATCACCCAAAAGCTGCCAATGTACACTAAGCACTGTGAATCACTCTACTTAGATTAACATACAAACGAAACTATCAGCAGGGATGAAGAATCCATACTATAGTTAAGAAATGGCCCTAGATAGCTATTTAGTACAAATCAATCCTATATAATAAAAGCCTAATATGCAAATCGACTGAATGGCAGAATGACCGGTGGAACGACTGGCGGTTATGATGCGCACTGACCACCAGGGGGCAGATGCTCAATGCAGGATCTGCCCCCAGGCCAGCCAAGGTGGGTGCCAGCGGCACTCCTCCCCACCCCCAACCCCCGCCAGTCACCTCACAGAGGAAGGCAGCAAAGGGCGGGGCCAACAATCGCCCCGCCAGTCGCCCCACAGATCGGCCCTGATTGTTGGCCAGGCCTAGGGGCAATCGCCCCGCCAGTCGTCCCACAGATCGGCCCTGATTGCTGGCCAGGCCTAGGGACCCTACATGTGCACAACTTCGTGCACCAGGCCTCTAGTTAAAAAGAAGAAGAAAAGCCCATGGAAATGACTGTAAAGAGACTGGGCCTTTAATGCAATTGCTGTAGCTAAAATATGAAGCAACTAAGAGTGAGACACAAACACAGGAGAATGGTCCATTACCTGGATAGACGGGTATGTTCGGTTGTTGTCTGTGCTGTGCTCCCCCGGAATGCTGCCCGCTGATCGCCCTTCACATTTGTATCGAAAACGCATTCCCCGCTGCCTGGGTTGTTCAATTATCTCTATATATGGGTTATACCCACCTGAAATTTAAAAAAAGGGGGGGGGGAAGGAGCGTAAGATTCAAATAGCAATAATAATGGCTATTAACCATTTCATTTTTTTAAAAACAGCAGACTAAAATATTTTCCCTCCCAAATTAAATAACAAGGTTTAAAATCTAAGACTGGGTGGCAAAGACACCTTTTTCTCCCATTCAAATTGAGCTCCAAATAGAGTTAACACACGTCATTCAAATCATATTGATTGGTTTGCACTTTATCGCTTAATATCTAGAGCTAATGCCAATGTGAAGTTCTGAGATAGCCACTTTGGGGATACCCACTTCTCACATGAGACCAAGCAGAAGGGTTTCTTTCTCCCAAGGTTCCCCTAGAAGAGTCAAGAAGAAAATCTTCAGAAGTACAATGTCATACTCCAAAGCTGAGCTGAACAGCTTGATTTTACCTCAGACTCTTAATAGCGGACTAAAAGACTACTCATTGGAAATGTAAATGCATTTAAAGTCCTTGCAGTCAATGGACTTTTACAGAGTATATCAAAACAAGTTCCACAAGGGGCTTCAATAATCTTCAATCAGGCTCATCTAAACCTTTCTAAGGTATAAGATACCATGAAGGAAGAGAAAATAATTATTTCTATAACAAATACAATTCAAAATATGCAACTTTAGAATGAACTACTGATAAACACGACAGATGAATCTCAAAGTTAATTATACTGAGCGAAAGCCAGGCTTAAAGAGCACGTGCTGTACGATTCCATAGATATAAAACTCTAAAATATGTAAAATAATCTATAATGTCAGACTGCAGATTGAGGGTTGGAGTGGATGGGGAAACTGGGGGAAAAGGGGCATGCTAATTATCACGATTGTAAGCAATGATTTCAAGGCTGTACATATGTCAAAACTTACCAGAACGAAAAAAGGGGACATATGTAATACTTACAATAAAGAATTATTTTAAAAACAAACAAACACCAGAATTCATACTTTAAACAAGTGCAATTTAATATATGTCAATAAAGCTCTCTAAAAAATATATACCTTACCCCCCCCTTATCCAAATTGTGGAAACAAAAGTTCACTAAAATGTGCTTAGAAAAAGAATACCTAGCCATGTGTCTTTGCTTCAGACACATGAAGAGAAGTTCCATCAGTGAAAAGCCTTCCTCAATCACTTTAGTTATTTCTAAATTGTCTCAATTAGATATCCATTTTTGTGTGATCACTTCAGCGGCCTTTATACTAAAATTAGATATCCTTTTTTTAATATATACTATAGACTTATTCCGTGTTAGAATGCAAACAAATCTTCAGAAATGGGTAACACAGTGGGTCTTAGTGCATTACGGATTCAAGGGAAGAAGCCTTTGAATCCTACCAAACTAAATCTTAACAATGAAAACCTTGTGAATGTTATTAAATTTCTTAAATCTCCCACTACATAAAATGGAGCTAATAACAACAGTTCTGCCTCAGTGGGCTGTTGTGAGGATTAGACATAAAGTGTTAAGTTCTTAACAAGTGTCTCGAATATAACAAATACTAGTAATAGTGTCGATTCTTTCAGGTGCTTTCTTAAAAACAATGATTTATAGTGATACCATGATGGTATCACAACTGCTACTTTCAAGGATTTTACAGAACAGGTAGGCAAACAACACAAAGGAAAACATGCCCTTGACCGGGATCGAACCCGGGACCTTTCAGTCCGCAGGCCGACGCTCTATCCACTGAGCCAAACCGGTTTCGGCTAAGTGTTAAGTTCTTAACAAGCGTCTCGAATATAACAAATACTAGTAATAGTGTCGATTCTTTCAGGTGCTTTCTTAAAAACAATGATTTATAGTGATACCATGATGGTATCACAACTGCTACTTTCAAGGATTTTACAGAACAGGTAGGCAAACAACACAAAGGAAAATAGGAGTTAATGAAGCAAAAAGGTGGAGAGGGAGGGAGAAGGGGAACAGGTAGGCAATCTAAGAAAAGGAAACAGTGTGTCCAAAGGTGTACCAGTATAGAAGATATAGCCTCAATGGAAGAGAAGATTTTAAGAATCACCAAAACAGCCCGGATGGGAATGGGGTGCCTTTCTCTTGCTTAGAAAGAGAACCAAAAGCCAGAGTACATTTAGGGATTTGGATTTTATTCTCTGAGTGTCAATCAGTGAATGATTTTATGCAGGGGAATCACATGATCAGATTGGAATTTTCAAATAAGAATTCTGGTGGCAATAAACAGATTGAAAAGAGAAAGCAGGTGATCAGTTTTAGAGGTTGTTACAATAATATGAGTTATGATGAGAGTATGTCTGAAATATGGTAGTAATAATAGAAATGAAGGATTATTTAAAAGATAAAATTGACAGTACTTGGTGACTGACTGAACATTAGGGTTAAGAAAAAGAATCTTTGCCCTGGCTGGTTTGGCTCAGTGGATGGAGCGTCGGCCTGTGGATTGAAGGGTCCCGGGTTTGATTCCGGTCAAGGGCACATGACGGGGTTGTGGACTCGATCTCCAGTAGGGGGCATGCAGGAGGCACACAATCAATGATTCTCTCTCACCATTGACATTTCATCAATGATTTCTCTCATCACTGACATTTCTATTTCTCTCCCCCTCTCCCTCCCTCTCTGAAATCAATAAAAATTAATATATATATAAAAGAAAAAGAATCATTGATGGCTCCGTAGTTTCTACTTTGGGTTACTGAGTAAAGAATTACTGTCACCATTAATTTTATTCTGTTTGGATCAGGCTTCCTGCGTTTGACTCTACTACCTATTTGTTTATTCAAAAGACAAAGAGCCAGAAAAAAAAAATGAATTTAACCTAATCAAGTTCATAACACTTATTTCAATTTTACAGGGGAAAAAGTAGGCATGCAGATATTTCATAATTTCATATCCTTATATATTTTTGTATATTTAAAGTAATTCAAATCCACATTTCAGTTTCAAATATCTCACATGCTTATATATCCTTGCAGGAATATTTAAAGTGAAATACATTTTCCTTACAATAATTCAAAATACTCAACTTAAAAGATTTTTTAAAAATTTTAAAGTGATATCTTAAATCATTTATGTGGTTGAACTAAAGGTCAAATAAATCCCTGCCCACTACTTAAAGGTTGTCTTGGTGGGAAGTTGACATAGAATGACATCATTAAGGGTAAGTGGCTAACTTTTGGGGGAGGAGTGTGAACAAAAATGCTAGGCTCAAAATGAGAATTCAAATGATTTCATTGGTTACACAACACTTCCTTAAACTAGAAAGTGTTTATGAAGAAGTCTATACACAAGAGAACAGAAAAGCAGTTGTTAAAAATTAAATAAAACATTTTAAAAAGGTTTTTAAAAAATATATTTTATTGACTTTCTACAGAGAGGAAGGGAGAGGGACAGAGAGTTAGAAACATCGATGAGAGAGAAGCATCGATCAGCTGCCTCCTGCACACCCCCTACGGGGGATACGCCCGCAACCAAGGCACATGCCCTTGACCGGAATCGAACCTGGGACCCTTCAGTCCGCAGGCTGACGCTCTATCCAGTGAGCCAAACTGGCTAGGGCTTAAAAAGATTTTTTAAGTTATAAAAATGACATATTAGTTATATAACATCAAGTACTTAAAAAAAACCTTGAACTCTATTCTTCCTATTGTAGAAGCTCTCTATTGGTAAAAAGTCTTACCAACAACCAGAGTTTATTGTAATATTCTACATTCCTCCAGTTGGAAATTATCTTCCCCTACTCTAAACTACCATACTATTTTGTTTATGGCAATTATTCCAAAGAACTATAATAACTATAATGTAGGGAAGACTTACTATTTCTACTTGAAAAAAAACTACTTGTTTTATTTCTTTAAGCTACTTGAAGGCAGGAATTCCGTCTTACTCATTGGTGTCTTGCACACAGATATTCAGTAAATATCTGTTGAATGAATGAATAAAAATCTAAAGCTCTTTTTGTTTGTGTAAGTTATGCATTCATAATAATCAGATTTTCTTCAATAGACTCCAACTACTATGGAAAAAAAATAGTGCTTTGTATGTACTAGAATAGCTACATCTTCATACTCCTCATATCCATTTATATTCTGATTTCTTTATATGTATTTGTTTTTTAAAAACTTCCAGCTATAAATCATTTATATCATGTATCAGTACCCCAGTTACTTCTTTCCTCAATTCCCTGTTTTGAATATAAATCAGGGAATTGCAAGGAAAAGGAGTACTCAACTCAAAATACTATCTCAAATCACTAAAGTTTTGAAAAGCACTGAAAAGTCTTCAAAATTGGTTCCAAACAAATTGATGACTGTACTTTTCTTTAATTAATAAACTGGGATTGACCCCTATATTTTGAATAATATTATAAAAAGCCAATACAGACCAGAATAACATTTGAAATATAGCCAAAATGTTTGCAAGAGATATTTATGGTCTTACCTGCACGTATGCAAAAAGTGCTATTTTAAAACAGTGCCTACCTAACAATGTATGAGTTTATAAGATTAAAAAAAAAAGAAATTACACTGAAATAAAAGTTAAAAATGGATCAACTGTCAGAAATAGCTACATTATAAACTAAAACTGTATAGCTAGAATTGGAACCAGCATTAATTATACAGTGAAAAAATATTAATTACAGTAATTATAACACTGTCTTTAAGCACTTTATCATTTCTCATATGATCCTTTTATAATTTTATTCTTCATAAGTATAGAATAGAAATTATCATCCCATTTTACAGATAAAACTAAAGCTCAAAATTATATGAAATTATGAATGACATTAGCAAATATGACAGCTGAGATAGCAACAATAAGCATAAAAACAGCTGAGGATAAATTCACAATAACTGATACAGCAAATAACCTAAAATAAATGCAACTTAGGTGAAGAAGATATGCATCTTGCTACAGGCAGGTGCATATTTAGATCCAATGATATTCCTGGAACAGAGTTCATCCTGGGGTTGTAAATCAGAATCACCTAGGTAGCTTTCAAAACATACACATTGCC